GGATGAAGAACCATGGGGGCATGGGTGGTGCGGGTGTGGCATCGGGGGCCGCAGCGTGGCACGTGCGACGGCCCGAGGGTACGCGCCCCCGGCCGCCGCGTGTTGCGCCAGAGGGCAGCAGGTCGGGCGGCGCGGCGCCTGGCCCGGCTGCCGGCGGCCGCTGGGTCCCCTGCTATTGCCTTTGATCACCGCCGTGTGTACGTGTAACCCTCATCTCCCCCATCTCTCCCAACACCCCCGACCCCCCGCCCACAAGAAACAAAACTGTTAAAGCCCCAGGAGGGATCGTCCTCACGTCTGGGCATTGGGATATGAACTGAACCACCTTCTGCTCTAAGCTGCCACCGCTGCCCCCCGCCGCCGCCATGGCGCCCCGGCGTGCGGCTTAGGTCCGCGACGCCCGCACCCCTCCCTGCCGCCGCCGCCGCCGCCGCAGCCCCCGCCCGGAGCCGGCGTGTGCCGGCGGTCGGCTCTGCTTTCCGGTCGGATGTCACACGAGCTCGCGTGCTGGGGCCTTGTCCGGGCGGGTCTCGCAGATAGACTAGAGGGATCGGATCTGAAGCCCTCAGCACGGGACCGGGGCCTGCTGCGGGGGGTGCTGCAGGACTGCACTCGTGCCGAGGCGGCGGGTGTGGCGCGGCAGCTCGCACTGCTCGGACCTGCACTGCGGCTACTGAAAGGGAGGATCGGAATGACTGAAGGCCTTGAGGATATAGGTCCGCCACACACCAAGTTTCAGCGATTGAGGGAGGGCAGGGAGAGCGCCTGCCGCCTGGCTTGGTGAATCGAGATCACGGTGTGCGGTTTGGACAACCTATTTGTAATTGAATGAGCATCATTTGTATGTCAAGCGACCGCTGCCCATAGTTGTTCAGTGCAGGCAGTCTGCAGTGCCGACCCGGTGCCGACATCAGTGCAGCAGCGACTGTCAAATCGGAGTCAGCGCGTTCATCACAAGCACCGCGTCATTACAAGGAACAACCAGACAATCTGCATACATCGCGTATACATCCGCTTGCTCTACGCTATTGCACAGCGATCCTTCCGCAGACGCCGCGGGGCCAGCTCCTCACTCGCGCTCCATGGGGCCCGGAGAGGAGGGCAAAAAGCGCAAGCGACAAAAGAAGAACAAATCCGCAGCGGCCGGTGGCGCGCCGTCTCCCAACGGCGCGGCGGCGCTTGCGCCTGCAGCGGCGGCGCCGCCGCCGCACCAGCAGCCGGGCACCAAGCGGCCCTTGAAAGGGGAGCCTGTGGGACAGAGCGCCCCCAAGAAGTTTAAGGTAGCCACAGTTGATCTGATGGCATGCTTGCGCAGCCTGAAGCGCCTTGCACGCTAGCAGGGGAAGGGAGGTGTGAGGTGCCTGCCTTTTTGCACCCTGGCTACTCGCCCTGCGCTGACACCCCCAATCCTGCCCCGCCGTTTTGCGGCCCCCGCAGCAGCAGCCACAGCAGCAGCAGAAGCAGAAGCAGCAGCAGCAGCAACCGTTGAAAAGGCCGTCCCCTGCCGATGACAGCGAAGAGGAGGAGGAGGAGGAGGAGGGCGGCAGCGGCAGCGACGACGGCGCCTTTGTGCCTTGTGACGGCCGCAGTGGCGGCGCCCTCGGCGGCGGCAGCAGCGGCGACGAGGGCTTGAGCGGCAGCGAAGAAGAAGATGAGGATGAGGAGGGGGACGAGGGCGGCAGCGGCAGCGGGGACGAGGACGGCGGCAGCGACGAGCCGATGAGCGGCAGCGAAGGGGACGATGAGGACGCGGAGAACGGCGGCGGCGGCGGCGACGACGAGGGGCGGCCCGCGGCGGCAAAGGCGGGGAAGAAGGGGCCCTTGTCTCTGGAAGTTGAGCGGGCGGTCGCGTCCGTGGCCGGCATCATGAGCGAGGCGCCGTTCTCGGGGCTCGAGCTGTCCGACCCGACACGCAGGGCGATCGACGAGATGGGGTTCACGGTGATGACGGAGGTGCAGGCGCGCACGATCCCCGCGCTGCTGACGGGGCGCGACGTGCTGGGGGCGGCGCGGACGGGCAGCGGGAAGACGCTCGCGTTCCTCATCCCAGCCGCGGAGCTGCTGCAGCGCGCCAAGTTCATGCCCAGGTGGGTCTCTTTTTGGGGGATGAGGGCACCTGGGGCGGTGATTTGGGGCCGATCGGCAGCGTCTCGCATTTATCGCAGGTGCGGCTGCCCGCGGCCCGCGCTCTGGGCGCGCGCCGCCTCAGCGGCTGCGCCGCGGCAGCCACGTTTGGCTTGGGGGCGCGGCCTTGGGGCGGCCGCTGGAAAAGCTCGAAGCACTGCGGTTTGGTTCGGCCCCCGCCCCTGCCAATCCACCTCCTCGTAAAAATCACAACTATAACCAAAGCCGCCGCGCGGCGCAACCCTGCCCCCCGCCAGGAACGGCACGGGGGCCATCGTCATTGCGCCGACGCGCGAGTTGGCGCTGCAGATTTATGGTGTGGCGCGTGACCTGATGAAGCATCACAGGTGGGGGGGGGTGCGTTGGGAGGGGGTGAGGGGCTGTGCGTTGGTGTGCGGAGGGGGGTAGGAGGTTGTATGTTGTCAGCAGGTTGTCACAAAGAAAATAGAGGTGGGACACGTGAGGTTTTGGGGGGGGGGGGCGCAAGAAGGGTCATGTAGGCATCCGAGGGGGGGGGCGTCATGATGTCAGCACCGCGTGGGGCCTGATGAAGCGCCACAAGTGGGGGCGAGAGGGGTCTGATCGTGCCAGACAATGCGCACCGGCTCGCACCCGCGAGCCGGATGTCGTGCCGGGTGAGTGGCAGCCAGTCGCAGCTGGCAGGCGCTGAGCCGGCATCGCACCGGCAGTCCTGGGCCAGCGGTTGCCAAGCAACACCCTGAAGTGTACAAACACACGCACTGACACACACTCACTCGCACAACACACACGCACGCATGCACGCATGCACACACACACAAAAACACACACACACACACACACGTGCGCGCATGCACAAACATACACGAGATCCTACACACACACAAAAAGTACACGTATTCTCAATCATGGCTTACCATCGTTGCAACCCCCCCACACGTCACACACACACACTCTCACACACACAACGCACACCCACACACCCGCAGCCAGACGCACGGCCTGGTCATGGGGGGCGCCAACCGCCGCGGCGAGGCCGAGCGGCTGGTCAAGGGCGTCAGCCTGCTGGTGGCCACCCCGGGGCGGCTGCTGGACCACCTGCAGAACACAAAGGGCTTCGTAGTGCGGTGAGGACGCGCGCCGCAGGCAACAATAACAATAATGATTGCTCTCGTGCTGGGGCGAGCGGTCCATGTGCTTTGACTACGTGAAGTGGGGCAGCACACCGCATGTGGTGTGTTTCGGCCCGCGCCAAAACACACCACACGCCGTGACGACCCCCACAACGCGGGGCGTCCAGCGCCCCGCCTCGCTCCCCGGGTGCCGTCCCGCCCTCAGTCCTTGGAGGGTGCGGCAGTGGTTTGCGATGAACTCTCACCCCCCCTCACCCTCGTCAAGGTCAAAGCCAAAACCCTCAACCCACACTCAGTCTTGCAACAATTTGAACCTGCACGCACACACGTGCACACAACCACATGGGCACATGCATGCACACATACACACCAGTGCACGCTCTCACACACACACACACACACACACACATACACACAAGTGCACGCTCACAAACACACACCCATACACACAAGTGCACGCTCACACACACACACACAGCAACCTGGCGTGCCTCGTAATCGACGAGGCGGACCGCATCCTGGAGATTGGTTTTGAGGAGGAGATGCGCCAGATCATCAAGCTGCTGCCGCGTGAGCGCCAGACCATGCTCTTCAGCGCAACACAGACCACAAAGGTGGGGTCAGAGCCAGGGGCCTGCACCAGCCTGAATGTCAAAGATCTTGATGTAAGAAACACATAAAAGTTTGAGGGTGGATTGGTGTTGTGCTGCTTCGCATGGGTGTAAGGGCGGGTGATGAAGCACATGGGCACGCGCCACGTGCCGTCCTCCCGGCACCATCACAAGCAATAGTCTGTGGTGCTCGCATCCAAACACGGGCCTATGATATACCTTATGCCCACAATCATCACCTTTTTTGCAAACCTGCGATTTTGATATTCAACAAACCCTTCAAAAGGTGGAGGACCTAGCGCGGCTGTCGTTCAAGCACAAGCCGTTGTATGTCGGCGTTGACGACAGCCGCGCCGTGTCCACGCGCGAGGGCCTGGAGCAGGGGTACTGCGTCGTGCCCGGGGACAAGCGGCTCATGCTGCTCTTCACCTTCCTCAAAAAGAACGCCAACAAGAAGGTGAGCGCAAAGCACTGGGGTTGGGGCGGCTGCGGGCGTCATGACCTGGCCCCTGCGCAACTCGCAACGCCCGGCCACCCCAACGCCGCCGCGGCACCCAAACCTTGGACGACCCCACACCCTGGTGCTGACCCGCCCACCCACCGACCCGCCCACCTGTAATCACCAATCTGGCTTTGTCTCTTCCTCATATCTCCCCAACCACAACCCCCACACGCAGACCCACGCACACATCCAC